AGTGATTATTAGATGGTGAACATTAAACTGAGTTTTGAGCAGTAAGTGTAAGGTTGGGACTGGGGGGCTTTCCTGGTGGGTAGCCCTGGCAGTGCCTCTGGGTCTCTGTGCACTTATCTCTTTATCTCACCTTCTCCCCACCCCCAGTGATGAGGTTTAGGATTCCTCCCCCCTCCCCGCTGTGCCACCCACAGGGACAGGGCGAGGTCACCGACATACACTTAGGGGCACCCTGGGACCCTCGCAGGCTCTGAAGAAGGCCAGTTTTCCTTGACTGAGGTCCACCTGTCCCTGAAGCGGCACGGAGAGGCCAGCGTGGAGGGCCTCCGCAGCCAGCTGGTCCTGGAGCACCTGCAGCTGGCACCCTTGCAGTGGGGTGAGTACAGGGGTGCAGACCTCGAGCAGGGGCACAGGCCATGGGGGGGGGCAGGGCCATGTGGGGCGCAGTCCTGGGCTATCGAGGTGACAGGCCACAGCTGCAACCTGGCGCGGGTTGGCGCAGATGACCATCTGTCCATGCAGCAAGTTTGTCCTGTCTGGCGGCGAGCTGGGAGGGATGCCTCCAGGAGCAGTGGCCTTGGCCAGCCGCCTTTCCAGGAGGGGTATGTCCTGCCCAGGCCTATGGGAGGTCGGGCCGTTGGGGGGCTGCCTTCCCGTCTCTGCCTGGTTCTCTGGCATGGGCATCCGCGGCTTCTCATTCAGTCCCACAGAGGCCGCCCTGATTGAACTCGTTAGTCACTGTTAGCTGCGGTGGAGTGAGCTCTTGTGTGTGGAGTATCCTCCTCCCCCCCCCTCCACACACACAGCAGAAAGGAGTGTAGGCCGGTGGTCACTGGACACTGCAGAGTTTGAGCGCCTGCTTCTGTCACACCAAGGATGCTGACTCGGCTGGTGCCTTCCTTAGGCGCAGTGACTGAGAACCCAGCCAGCCAGGCGCCATGGGGAAGGGGCCGCCTTCCTGCTTCATGGTGGTCTGTGTTGGGTCAGGTCGGACAATGGGTCATCAATGTCTAGCTCTTCCTGGTCATTTTATCCGAGAAGTCCTTGAGAGGTAGTATCAGGTCCTCTACCCAGAATCCTCGCTGCCCGACCCCTCCTAGTGAGGGCTGTCAGGACTGGGTGATGGTCAGCAGGGGCTGGGGGTGAGGACCCCTGCTGAGTTTCAGGGTCCTGGAGCGTGGGGGCGGTGTGTGTGTGTGTGTGTGTGTGTGTGTGTGTGTGTGTGTCTGGAGAGCCAGCACCCCCTCCGTACCCGGCAGGGCCGCAAGCTGCCTCAAGGTGCCCAGAGCCCCTGTGATGCATGCTGACCCTCTCCTCTCTCCCAGTAACTTAGCAACGGCACCAGCTCAGGCTTCCCCTCCCCACAAAAAAAGAACTGCTCCTCTCCAAGTGTCAGTCAGCACTCCTGCGCTCCGCTGGTCCGGCCGGGTGGAGGGAGGCCGGTCAGTCCTGGTCAGCCGGGTGGAGAGTGAGTTGCAAACATACCAGTTTGTTCTACCTTATTACTTAGATTGTGTAGGTCTGAAACCACCTTACCTGCGCCTCTCTTGGGGACTCTGAGTGGCGAATTACGATCACGGCAGCTGTGTGTCCGTCCACCTGTGACGTGTGCGGTTCAGAGGCTGTGATCCGTTGGAGGGATTGGGTAGATCCCAACGTACCACCCTCCCCCAGGCGTGTAAGGATTCACACTTGCATCTCTGTTGCTCTGTTGTACGAGGTCGAGTCTTGTCCACTTACCCAGCCTCTGTCACATGTGCTTGACCCAGGTGTCACCCTTGTCTGGCCTGAGCAGGGCGGGCATGCTACCTTCTTGTTTGTCTGGCTGGCCCTTTGTCCATCTGTATTTTAAACCTTTGAGAATCATGTGTGCTGGGGGGAAGGGGATGCTCTTGGATAAAGCAGTTAGTTGATTGGCCTTTGTGAAATAACTCCAAAGACCCTTCCCCCATTTCCGAGCTGCCTTGGGCCACCTACACGCGGATGTGAACACGGATCGTTTGCAGAGCTGCAGAAAAGACCCAAGTACCGTCTGGAGAAGGCTTTCTCTTCTTCATCGAGCCATTTCAGAACAGCGTCTGGCCCAGTGTCCCCAAACTCCTTGGGGTGTTTTCCTCCCGATCAGGCGTCTCCTCCCCCGCCCACAGCGCAGCAGTCAGAACCAGGACACGAGGAAGGTACGCTAGCACCCCTCCCACCTGCGGTGGCCCAGCCCCCGGCCATCCCAGAGCAGGGCTGAGCTCCCGCTCCCAGGCAGGGGGCTTCTCTAGTGTCCCCAGGGGCCTCCCAGCCAGCAAGCAGCAGGGGCAGGGCCCACCTCATCCACGGAGAGCCGGTGGCTCTGCTGTGGGTGGTTTGGCATTTTCCTGGGAAAGGGGGCTTCACAAGGCTCAAGGAAAACTGGGGTGGGAAGATCACGGGCTCTTCTCACCATGCTTTCAAACCCAGACCGAGCTCGGTGCCTCGAGCTGATGAGAAGGTACAGTGAGGAGGACAAAGGAGAGCTGTCCCCGGGTTTCCAGACCGTCACCGCGCGGGAGCAGAAAGGCCCGTCTTCTTCCTGCGGAGCCGCTGGTGGTTTCCAACTGCCCACCTTGCAGATGGCAGCCCAACCCTAACCCCTACGCCACCAGGGGGGCTTCACATAGAAAAACAGAACGGACAGATCACGGAATGTCCCGCCAGCCTTCTGGAGCCCCCTCTGGGGGGGTGTCGGAGTCCAGCAAGCAGGCCGGCTAGGCTAGTGTCCTACTCACCCCGTGGACCTGAGCCCCACGGGCCCCGAGGGACCCCAGGGCCCAGTGGGGGGGCGCAGGGCGCCCAGGTTACCCAGCCTGTCGGCCCTGGCAACATCCGTAGCACTGTCTGCTGAGCTCGGGCCTCAGAACCCAGCCTGTGTCAGCGTCTCAGGGCTGTTCCACCCCAAAGTCAGAAAGTGAATTTCTAGATCAGCAGCAGCTAAAAATAGGTGGCGGGGATTTTTGTCTTTCTTCAGTTTGATTCTCTACAAGATAGAACCTTTGCTTTCTTGTTTAACCCTCGGGCCACTGTCTCCCAGGAGGCTGGGTCTCTGGGGGTCCTGTAGCCCCTTGGGCCCTAGATGGGAGGGCTTGGCAGTAACAGGTACGTGGGGGTCAGAGAGAAGGGCCACAGGCCATCTGGCGGCCTCTATGCCTGGAGGCCCCTCGTCCTCCTGTAGTGGAGACATGGCCTGTTTCATCCCCTCACTGCATCAACCCCAGAAGCTGAGAGCCCTGTCAGGGCTCAGAGAAACTCAAGCCTAGAGCGTCTTTGTGGTCACGCTGCACCGGGGAGTAACTGCAAAGAGGCCGGGGCTCTGGGCGCCAGCCTGGACCCCTGGTTCGTTCCATGGCTGAGCAGACCAAGGAGCACGTGGCCTGGCCGCCTCCCCGCAGCATCCCAACTCAGCAGCTTGCAAGGTGGGGTAAGGGGCACCCAGGTTAGGGAGCCACCAGCTCCAGTTTAAGGGAGGCCCTGGGAAAGCCAGTCTGTGTGACCTGGAGCGGTCAGTCCTCTGAGCTCGCCAAGCCTGTGACCTGGAGCTGCGGGACCACAGCCTACTGGGGACTGGCACCGACAGTATGTCCCTCTATAGCTCTGCCACCCAGAGGGCGGAGCTTGGCTTCAGGAGAGCCCCCGGGGCCTGCTGGCCCCTCAGCCAGACAGACTCTCACCAGGTCCTGCCCTGAGAGCCAGGAGACAGGATGCATGCAGCGTAGCCTGACTAGCCACTGCCCCAGTCTCTCTGTGTTCCCTGGCTTGGAGATGCATCACCCCCACCCTCCACCCCCCACCCCCGTCGTCACGTGGCAGTCTTTTGCCTGTCCCTCTGTGTCCCTGTTCTCCTTCTAAGGACACCAGTCATATTGGACCAGGGCCCACTGTACTTCCCTAGCCTCCCTACTGTTGACTGGCTCCCCGTTGCCCCTGCAGCCCCAGTGAGTCTGAGTCATGTGGGCTGGAGCCAGGCCTCCCTCGAGTGCTGCTGTGCCCCTAACCCTGATCGCAGGGCATTGTAACAAGTCCTCCTCACCTTCTGTGTCCCTATATCCGGCACCAGGGTTGCATCTGCAGTGTGTGCCCAGGGAACTGGAGCCGAGTGAGTGCCCTGGGGCCATCTGTGGTGGCCACACATGGCTGCCCTCTCCAGCAGTCTCATCATACTTCACAGCCGCCTGGTGGACCCCACGCGCTGGCAGCCCACCCACTGGCCGCTGTCCTCTCCACTGCTGCATGACCGCACCTTCTGTCCGGCCAGCTTTGCTTGCGTCTTACCCCTGGGCCTCTGCCCATTCTAGACACTGGGAGTCTTGTGCCAGCCAGGCATGGCTGGATTGCCAGCTAACCCTCCCAGCACTGAGTCTTGGGAGGGGGTGTCACTGTGAGAAGCTGGTGGGCCATGCCACTGTGTTAGCTCCATGCTTCATCCTATGTCCTTGAAGCCCCAAGGAGGCCGTCAGCCTCTGGGGAGGGGACGACTGAGTCTCCAGCCCATGAGCGTGCACCATCAAACTGCCAGAAGGACTCCGGGACAGTTTGGGCTAAGTTCCAGTTCTCTCCCAGAGCCCCACTTTTGCCTGCTGCCTGCATCATTCAGTATTTTCACCATAGAACCTTTCAATATAGAAAATTCAGGCTTGAATTTTTTCCTTGAATTCTCTCAGCTTAAGAGACAACGAGCGGGCTCTTCCCTCTTGGCTTTCTACCTCGAGGTCTTCCGCACCCTTCATGATCGTAGCCTACTGGCTTTGTCTTCTCGAGCTGCGCTTTGGGCTTTGTCTTCTCGAGCTGCGCTTTGGGCTTTCCCATCCAGCCCTTTGACTGCGGCCTCCTTCATTTGCTCTAGCTACTCTGCGACGGAGAGCACGTTTCAGGGTCTCTTGTGTCAACCATGCTGATCTTTCTTTCTTTCCTGACTCATTAGCGACCTTTGCATTCTTCATGAATGATGGTCCTGGTGTGCCTCCAGGGCTCATCAGGTCTTCTGCCATTAGTGCTTGTGTCAGTCCAGGCTGACCAAATCCATGGACGCTCATGTGTGCATAAGAGAAGTTTTCTATCCAAGAGTAGTTGCATATTAAGACAACATCCCTGCCCCAGTCCAGATCAAGTCCATCAGTCCGATATTTGCCCATATGTCCGATACCAGTCTATAAATTCTTCTTCAGACTCACACAGCCACATGCAACGATGCCGAATACAGGAAGAAAGATCACAGGCCAGTGGGTGGAAAGTCTTATGGATCCAATGGTGGTGGAAGCATCTCAGCACTGGCATGGGTCTCCATATGGCTCCTCCAGCATCAGGGCTCTGGCTCCATCAGCATGGCTCCATGTGTCTTGTCAGCAGGAAGAC